ATTTAAAATCTATACCATAATTTTATTATTACTTAAATTTGTCCAGTTTCTGTGTTTTAAATATTTTTATAGTAAAAATGGTACATGTTACCGTTGCTATTTACAATTTTATTAATGCGCATGACAAACTATGATAAATGCTATTATTATTTTTTGCATGCAATCATGTAGCAATTATTATGCATGCTTGAAATTGATAGAAAAAAATTTGTTTCTACTTTATTTTATGTTGATACTATGTTTGAAATTTGGTGTGGTAAACTTCCATAAAATATTAAAAATATTATTAATCAGAGTAGGTCAGATCTATATTTTCATAAAAATACAATCAGTATAATAACATTTCGTKTCAATAAGTACAAACCTTGAACTAAATTCAGTTTAATTTAAACTTTTATTAAAATATTAATTTTGTCTTATTAATGTATTATTATTATTATTATTATTATTATTATATTAAATTAAATTATCTCTTAACTATTTAAAGATCGTGATAATAAAAAATCATTGTAAAATTATTAGTACAATTACTATAATAATCCATTTTACATAGTAGGTGTTATATGGTTATCATTCTTATCTGTTATTGCAGTTTATTTTATCGTGGATACGACTATGKCTACACTATTTCTAGGATAGGTTTGAATCATAATGTATCATTATGTGGCATAAAAACCTTGTGAGATTTTAAAGAATTGTTAAAGGTAAACTAATGCAGTGTGGGAGTGAAGTCCCCACATGGGTCTTTATGACATAACATTATTCAACCTACCTCTCTCAGAAAACAATTTAATAACTCCTATGCAGCCCAAAAACAAATAATAAAACAGTCATAAAAATGAGCCATAATAATATTACTCAAATTTCTCAAAATTAATAGTATTTCTATATGAACAGGTTATAGGAAGACCTGAAAAATAAAATAATATTTATTCTAATCAATATTTTTAATTTTATATTTTATTTACAATTTATTAAATCTTATGCTTCACATAATATAATATATAATTTTTTATTCTGAAAAAAA